ACTTTTGTTTACAACTTTGCAGCAGTTAATGCTCAGAAAATGTATAATCACAGAAAAGTCAAACTGTATAATCGTGGTATCCACATACAGAAATAGTGGTAACCCTCATAGGTGTGGCATACTGACGATAGTAACGGTCATTGTAATAATATGACATTAGGAGTAAATACATCAGTGAATTAATACTTAATAATTGACCAACGCACGGGCTACCCGTGCGAAGATGCGTTTTTTGCACAGTTCCCCACAGTTTTTGTCGCTACTGGCGTCGGTTTTTTCGGCAAATGCTTCTAGCTAAACAAATTAAGACTGGCCGTCAGAACTGTCAGGAAACACCCCCTCAAAATTTCAGCTTTCTAGCTTTCCTGGTTCGCGAGTTATCAACTTACCCGAAAAAAATTTTGGCGAACTCGTACGCAGGTACCACACGGGTGAGAGCGCCCATTTTGGGGATGGGGGCCCGTACGTGCATGTAGATTAATTCCCTAAAGTTTCAGCCTATAGCTTTTGTAGGTCTCGAGATGAAAAATCGGTACAGAGGCCCTGCACACACACAGGCACACACACACACACACAGACAACCTCTCGTCAATATGCGTTTTCCGCATTGCATAGCTGCAAAAACCGTATAAAAACACGATGATGAAATTGCCTTTACTAACGATTCTGGTCAAAATGGTTTTTATACTTTTTACGCTGTGTAACAGCAGCACAAAACGCATATTGTTACGGGGTTGTGTGTGTGCGTGTGTGTGCGTGCGTGTCCGTATGTCCGAATGCGTTTTGTTCCGCACTTTCAACTCGAGAACCACAACAGCTAGGCGGCTGAAATTTTAGGGGGTTGTTCCCTGCCCACGTGCGGCGACCCCGCATTTTTAGATCCGGCCTCCCCGTACCCCTGGATAATACATACGGCCATGTAGATTTTGGCGGGGGAAATTATTATCTGGGAACTGCGGGAGCTAGAAAGCTGAAATTTTAGGCGAATGTGACCTCGCAGAATCAAATTCAGCTTTCATACGCGTTTGGGTTTTTTGTAAGCCCCCGCGAAAGTATTAGTGGAGAAAATTATTATCTCGAGAACTGAGCCTGGAATTTCAGAGGGATGTTTTCTGCTTGTGCAGATACCTCACAAACTCAAATTTAACTCCCAATTATGCCAGGGTCTTATGTACGACCATTTGAGGGTTTCAATGCGAAAGCCACTAACTCGGGAGCCGGAAAACTAGGAGATTGACAATGAAAAGATGTTCCTCGCGCAAGATTTCAGATTCTCTTTTCATATACTGGCACTTCAAATTTTTGGTGAGAAATTAGTCAGCTTAGAAGCCAGACAACATATCAACAATTTTTCCACACACGAAAGTATAAAGTATTCAAAATCTTTAGAACGTCCGCTGGACGGAATTGCACAAAACGCATGAACGCACCGGCTACCTTGGTGCACACCACTATTTATGTCGAAATCTTATCAGTTTAGTCAAAAACCCTAAAAAAATTGTTAAAGCCATTTTTCCGCATCTATGTTGGTCTTAATGAGTTCAAACCCAGCCCTCGGGTATGTATGGTCCCCAGATACGGGCTCGTGAAAGTTTTTTACGGGTAAATTGCCAACTCGGGAAGCTGAAAAGTTAGAGGGCAGGAATTTCAAGGCGATGTTCCCCGTCCACTTAGGTCCTAATGGGTTCAAACCCGGCCCTCGGATATGCATGGTCTTCATGTACGGGCTCGTGAAAGTTTTTTGCGGATAAGTTGTTAACTCGGGAAACTGAAAAGTTAGAGGACAAGAATTTCAAGGCGATGTTCCCCATCCATATAGAACTTAGTGGCCCCAAGCTGTACTCCTAGTTATGCGTGGTTCTCACGTACGGGCCGGTGAAAATTTTTACGCGTGAGTTGCTAACTCAAGAACCAATAAAGCTAAAAAGTTGAAAATTTAAGAGGATGTTTTCAGACAGCCCTGGTGCCAGTCTCAGTTCTCTTAACTAAAAAATCCGTCCGAAAAACAACGCCGTTAGCGATAAAAACTGTGGTTAATTATGCAAAAAAACGCATCTTCGCATGGGCAGCCCTTGCGTTGGCCAATTATTTTGTTTTAGGTCGCTGTGCCCGGTGAAGGAAATGCACTGACGGTATTTAAAGGGGCGCAGAAACCGGTGAAAGGCGAGAAAGAATGCCTGCTTTTTTACGATCAAAGTACCGGTGAAGTA